AAATTGAGGAATTGTCCATCAATTAGGTAATGACTGAACAAGTTATGGTATATGAATTCAATGTGCTGTAAGAAATAATGAGTGGGGTGACTTCAGAAAAACCTGGAAGACTTGTTTAAACTGATGCAAAGTGAAATAAGCAGAATCAGGAGAACAATTTATATAATAACCCAAAATTATAAAGATAAACTTTGCAAGACTTACTAAGTCTGATCAACACAATGACAAACCATATTTCCAAAAGACCCATAATGAAACATATCATCCACCTTCAGACAGAGAATTAATGGACTCAAGAGTACAGATTGCAGTATATTTTCTTCTCTTTATTTTTCTTGACTTTTTTTTCATGGAACATCTCTAATATGGAAATTTGTTTTGCATGATTTTATATATATATTATATATACATATATATATATATATATATATTAGATACATTATTACATATATATTTGCTATGGGTTTTGTTTTTCTTGTCTTCTCACTGGGTGATAGAAGGAGAGAGGGAGAGAGAGAATTTAGAACTGAAAATAAAACAAAATTGAATAATAAATAAGAAGTATGGACATTTTAGTCACTTTATTGGCATAATTCCAAATTGCTTTCCAGAATGGTTATACCAATCCACACTCCACCAACAATGTATTAGCATACCTGTCTTCCCCTGATCCCTCCAACGTTAACTATCCCCATTTTCTGCCATCTTTGTCAATTATCTAGTAGTTGTTTTTGATTTGCATTTCTGTTCTTCTGAGTGATTTGGAACATTCTATCATATAATAGTTTGTAATTCTTTTGAGAATAATTCATATACTTTGGCCATTTATCTCTTAGGGAATAGTTTTGGGTTATATATGTGTGTGCATATATAATCAAATAGGCATGTGTGTATGCTATCCATATATCTTGGACAGCAAACCCTGATAAGAGAAATCTGATATGAAGACGTTTATCTTTTCCCAGAGTCCACCTCGGGATTGCCTTTTCCCTCTTTTTGTGTCCCCAGCACTTAGCACAGTAGTTGACACATAGTAGGAACTTAATAGATGTTTATTGATTGATTATCCTAGAGGCATTAATTTTTTTTTGTGCAAAAACTTCAATTTCACATGATCAAAGTTGGGGGTTTTTAATTACAAGTCGTCTTCCTGATGTCATGGTCCTCTTCGAGAACAGAGGACAAATCACACAACCTGTGTTAATGCCTTGTCAACACCTGGTCACCTCTGCTGGCTGCCCCTTGACTTTCTGGGATTCCTTTTGCTCTCTTTATGCTTAGTTTAACACCTTGTTATCTGTGACCACCTCCTGGGCTGGGGGCACATCAGTTGATCAGCCCTCTCTTCCACCTTACCCAAACATGCTCTATGACATGAGCAAGCAGAGTAGAGAGCAGCCAGTAACAGCCCCAACTTTGGTGTTTGATGAGTTGTTCATGTAAATCACTGTGCTCACCTTATTATCAAGGGAAGAGGAAGCCGGGGACCCTCTGTAACATAGTGACAAGTTAGCGTAGCAAGAGAAGGCTGACGTGGACTTCCAGGTCTTCCTCGGTGCAGCAGTTGAAAGAACTGGGCATGTTTAGCCTGGAGAAAAGAAGACTGGGGGCGGGGGGCAGAGGGAACGTGAGAGCTTCCTCTCATCATGTGGAGGAGGGATCGGCTTAGGTCTACCTGGCCCTAGAGGGCAAAACCAAGAGCAGTGGGGGAGGCAGTCGCGCAGAGGCCAATTCAGCTGGATGTCAAGAGAAACTCCCTGACCATGAGAGAGGTCCCAGGATAGCACAAGCTGCCTCAGGCTGGGGCAGCTTCGTTCCTTGGAGGTCTTCCAGCAGAGGTTAGATAACCACTCACCAGGTATGTTCTAGGAGAGATTCTTGTTCCATTCTAGGTGGACTCAAAAACTCCCAAGGTCCCAGGTAACTCAGAAATGCTGTGTTTCTGTGATAGGAGACTGGAAAATACAGGTCAATTTATTTATCGACCGTCAGGGATTCTATGAAATGAGCTGAAAAATTCATTCTGACAACTAGCCACCCAGGACACATCTTGGGCTCTTCCATCTCATGTCATTCTCTTCATCCTTCAATTTTTGCTCTAAGAGTCCTTGGGATACCTAGAGGCAACTCTCTTGTGAGTCCTGAGTCTTTTCTTCCCTAGACTAAACACTGCCACTTCCTTCATCTACATTTGGCTTGCTGGCCCGTCTCCTCACAGATTCATAGAACTTTAGAGTGAGGCAGCCCCTTCAGTACCATCATGTTCAGTCCCATTTTAAAGACAGGGAAACTGAGGCCCAGGAGGGGGTGGGGCTTGATTGTAGAACAGGTTAGTGCAGAGCTGAGACTAGAACCCAGGTTACCTGACTCAATGCTCCTTAGGCTTTTGATCTCATGAAATGATAAATGCAAGTACCAAGTGAGAGGAAGTGTGGGCGGCCATGAGGGCGGGGAAGCTGCTGCTGGTGGTATCTTGCAGGACAGCGAGAGGCAGGAGCCAAGCCTTCCTACCTTCATGAGCCATGTGGGGAGTCCTGCTCTGCCCTCCTACCTCTGCTTGCCTCCTGATGCCACCTCTCCTCCTCCCTGGCCCGGGGGCACATCTCCAGACCCAGAGCTGGGGATGCAGCCAGCTCCTGACCTCTAGAACTCCCTTCAGGGCAGGCAGGTGGGCAGCAGGTGGGAGGTGGGGAAAGAGGAGTCCAGAGCCTGACCAAGGGCACTGTGGAGAAATTGGGAATGAGAGTGATTCAGCCAGACCTCTCCAGGAGCTGTCTCTTCATAACCAGCATCAAATATTTATCATATTTTCTGTCCCTGGGCCACGCACTCAGACAGCTGTTAATATAAATGAAGCGGTCTGACTGGCAGCTGCCCAAGAAAAGAATTTAGTCTTTGGGGAAGGGGTAGAAGTAGTGAGTTCATATGCCTCACTGGGGTCTCCCTAAGGCTTTGGGCTTCAGCTTATAACCTTACTACAAATCTTCTTGCTTTAAAAGAACATTAGAGGTCACCAGGGGAAACCTCAGACCTCTGTGTTACACAGAGACCCTGAGCAACTGGGGTCTGTGTTAACATACTAATAAAACAAGCTCTCAATTCTATGGCTTGTTAAAAGTTAACTCACTTTTCTCATGACACAATATTCCTGTCAGATAGGGAGGAAAGGATTGCAATACATTTTACAGAGAAAGGAAATGACTTGTCCAAGGTCATACCATTATTGACAGGGCCAGGATTTAAACGCAGCTCTCCAACCGCTATACCACACTGCAAGCCTCAGACAGCCAGGGCAGCTGAACTGTGAGAGCCGGAAGGTAACAAGTGTGAGCACTGGCCCCGAGGAAGGTGTTACGTGGATGCCCAGCTACTCTAGGAGTCCCTCTGAAGCTCAGGGCAGGTGCTTAAAGCAGCCCTTTCTACTTGAAGGAAGCCCTAGGAGAAGCCAGGCTTCTTTGGGGGAGGGCAGTGGGTCAGTAGCTCCTCCTCTGAAGCTTTCCCCGTATCTGTTTACCCCTGAACTTGGTGTACTGTGCTGTTCTGCAGGCTGCCTGAGGTCTGGGCATAGAGCACACACACTGAACGCTCAGACAGAGGCGATGCTCAGGCTAATCCCCTTCACACTCCATCCCAGCCAACCCCAACCTCTTAGAGCCTTTGTCTTCCTTCAATGCTCAGCTCAGCTATTACCTCCTCTGTGAAGTCTTCCCTGATCCTCCCAACTGACTTCCCATTTCTCAGATTTTTCCTGGAGTATTGTGACTGTTCTCTTGACCCTTTCACTCCCTACCACTGCTGTACATATTTGTACTCTCTGAGAGAATGTACACTCCTACAGGCAAGGACTATGTCTGTTTTGTCTTTTCATCTCCGTTCCCTGGTACTATGTTTGGCACACAGGAGGTGCATAATTAACATTTGCTGGATCGGATGGAATCTTGTTGTAAGGTCAGTAACAGCTTGGCAACAACTTCTGACCGTCTCCATTGTTTTGGTTTCAGCGGTTACTAGAACCAGAGATACAACGGTCACAGGTCCCTATCTGAGCATAGAACAGTGTCAGAGGTATAACATCTGAACCATTAGGGAGAGGGAGTAATCAGGTTGCCAGGTCAGGTCATACCAGGAAGGCAGTGTTTAAGGATGGGACACAAGGAAGGATTCAGGACACACAGCTGAGTTGAATCAGAGTGGGACTTGGGCTAAGGCTGAGGTCTGACCTCTTGCGGGCAGGGCCCCTGGTTGGAGAGGCTTTGGGGACCTTCATATTGGGGTTGGATTAGGCGCCTAAAGGTTCCTTCCAGCTCTGGAATTCTGAGCTTCTCAGGGAGGGATTGGGACCCGAGCTCAGGTTAGACCTGGGCAAGTCAAGGAAACCCGAGGCATGATCTGAGCTGAAGCAAGGATGGGCGTAGGCCCTTAGACTCTTGTATTTAGGTTTCCTGGATGAGAGGCTCTAGCTATGAACAACCGCTCTTCTTTAGCTTGCCCCCCAGGTTCGCCCCTACTCAGCCCCAGCCACTTGGGTCCAGGCTCAAGTCTTCATGCCCAAAAGGTAACCCCCCAGAGTGGGATTTGCAGGTTTACATTTTGCCATTGAAAAGGTGGGTTTGCCTGCAGCTTGAGGAGGTGCATCTAAACTTCAAATCTCCATCAGCACCTAGTGCAGAATTCTGAACACAGGAAACATTTAGTAAATGACTGGAGGAGTGGACAAATGGATGCTGGATGGATGAATGGATAGGTGGGTGGATGGAGGGAAGGGTGGGTTCAAAGCGTCCTCTCCCACATCCTGGATGCTCCAGTTAATAAGCACCTATCCCAAAATGTGGTACTCTGAACCAAACATAATACTCTAAACGGGGTCAGCAGAGTGTTGGAAGGCACTCCCTTTGTTAACTGGGGACTCTAAACATAAGTGGAGGAATCAGTGGGCTAAAGAAAGCAACAGGAAGGAGTTGAGGGAAGGAAGACTCCTGGGAAAGCCAGCTGGTGTACAAACAAACCCCTTTATTTCCACTTCCTCCACTATAAGGCCCCCCTGAGATGGGTTGCATGCACAGCCCGGTGTTTTTGAGCCCATAAACAGAGGACTCTTGGCATCAATGTTTAAAGACCACCACGCAAGAGGAAAACACTTAAAAGGAATTTCTCTCTCAATTTTTATAACTAACTTTGAACATCTTCAACAGAAATATAGGGCCCACTGCCCAACAGGAGCGGTCCATGAATGCAGCCTGAATTCAAAGGACCTGTTCTCCAATCCCCACCCTGCTTCCTGGCACTTCTCCTAATCCATGTCTCTGCGAGGTCATTTTAATTATCGGCTGTCACAATTACTCATCTTGCTGCTTACCCAGACAGGGAGCCGCCAGCAGCCGCTGAGGCCACATTCATCATACTAAAGCACTTTTCCTTGCAGAAAAAAAGACCCAGCACTTAACCCCTACCACCTTGGGAAGGAGGATGGAGAAGAGGGCTTTGGGTTTTTTGTTGTCATTCATCTCTCTCCTCCAAACATGGCACAGGGGAGGGGTATGTGGGAAGGATTGTTTCTTTTCCTATTCTCTGATTTTTTCCAGTGACAATCACTTCCTCCCCCTACCCTGATTCTGCCATGGAATATAACCAATGCGGTATGGGTACAGGCACTGGTGCCAGACCCCGTCTGTGCTAAGGTTATGCGTTGACCTCAGGATACTTAGGGATAGACAAGCAACAAAAAACATGTTGGAAGGGCCCACCAATCTTGGATTTCTCGTTTGAAATAATCTTCCCAGGGAACTCAGTAGAAGCTTTCAGGGGAGCATTTGCTGGGGGGAAGGGAGTTTCATGCTAGGGTGCTCCATCTAGAAGTCAACAAAGCTGTGGTAGCCAGCATCCTTTGCTTAAGAAACTAACAAGTCATAGCAACATATGCAACTTTTGAAAAGCTCTGGAAGGAAAGGGGAAAGTTTGATCCATTGACCCACTGGATAGCTAATGTGAGGGACATGCCTCATCCTTGTCTCTCTTACCCCACTAAGGTAGCCAGGTCAGCTGAGCTGGGAGGACAGACAGACGTTTGCCATTACCCTGAGAAGGGTGTCAGCCTTTCTCCAACTCTGCTCAGGCCTGTAGGAAGGAGAGCAGAGCAGGGAAAGCCACAGCTTCTGGGCCAGTATTTTCTTTGGGCCGACCCATTGTCTTGTGGCTACAGAGCTGTTCGCTATGGAAAGTGGGAGGCCCAGAGAGTTGGGTGAGATTTCTGTGCACAGATCTGGGGATTGTGGGTCATCTTGCTACAGAAAATACCATTTGAATTCCATTGGCTTAGCAGCAAATGGGCCCAAGGTCTGCATTCAATTTATTATCAATGAAAGGAAAAGTCAGGAGTAAACTTCTACCATATCTGTCCAAATGTAGGCCATAATTTGGTTTATATAAAACCCGAGTGTGGCCTGTAACCCCATTATTTTTCAGTGTATGCTTATATGGTATATATACATATGTATGTATATATGTGTCTATAATAAGTATATATGTATGTAAAATACACATATACATGTATGTGAGTACATACATACATACATACATCCCTTTCTTGGGTCAGGTATATAGCCTCTCTTTTTGGTTGGCCGATATTTGGATCAATATAGAAATCTGTGTGTCCTTTCCCTACCCCTTTCAATTCTCCCCTTTCTTTCCAGGCTACTTTTCATTTCAGAAATCCTCATGTGGGAAATGAAGGAGGGCTTCTCTCTCCAGACCCAACTTTGTGACCCTCTCGCCTCTGCTGGCTCAGAAGGGTGACCCTTCTCCCGACCCCTGCCAGCATTCTCTGCATCTTTATGAGGACTGAGAGTGGTCTTTGTGATTGAAAGAGCTCTTCTTGTCTCCTCTGAAGGCCGAGCGGGAACCTGTCTGGGCCCGAACGTGTGAGTGCTTGAAGGGAGGTGATCTTTCCTTCCTACAAAAGGGAACAAATCAGAGAGAAAAGCATGACTCAGTGACTGAGGGCACCAGGCTGAGCTTGGAACCAGACCTTTGCATCTGCTTCTAGAACAATGGACTGCAAGTGAGGCTGCATTGACTTCTAACTTGGAAGGGTTCTGAGATGGAAGGGACCTTAGAACACAGGAAGCCAGTGTTGACAGGGGTTTTATTTCAGTCCAGGGCACCTCCATCAATCACCCAGGCCCCAAACCCAGGTGTCATCCTCAATTCCTCGCTTGCGCTCACCCCACATATTCAATGTGGCTGACCCTTCTTACCTCCTTAGACATCCATAGCATCTCCCATTTTTCTCCCTCCTCTCTTCTAACACGGCCACCACCCTGATATGAGTCCTCATCCTCATCCTCATCCTCACAGCTTGACAAGTGAAATAACCTGGTTGTTGATTTCCCTTCTCACTCCAGTCCACCCTGCACTTAACTGTCAGATTGATCTTCCTAAAGAGTAGGTCTGATCATGCCACATTCCCTGCTCAATAAAATCCACATAGTAAACATTTCATCAATGTTGAGTGGATAACCAACTTAGAAGATAGAATACAGAATGCCCAAGGTGGTTAGGGACCTTAAGTCACGGAACATGATATGTTCGACACATTGAAATATCCATAGATCTCACTGTCTATCTATACTGACCTGGGCTGGAAAAATGACTAGGTGACTTCTTCTCAGATTTTCCCAGGCAAGGTAAGAACTTGTGATTGGGCTCCAGTAAGAGAAGAAGGTCAGGGGAATGGATGCTGATTGCAGTGAATCTAGAACCCTAGGGCTAAGCACACTACTCTTTTAACACCCTATTTTTCTTTATAAAGAGGAGGTGGGAAAGCAAGAGAATGAAAAGTATGATAGACTGCAGAAGAGAAATACACAATTAATGGTCCCAATTGTGAATGTGAATGGGATGAATTCAACCATAAAATAGAAGAGGATAGCAGAATGGGTTAGAAAACAGAATCCAACAATATAATGTTTGCAAGAAATACATTTGAAATATAAAGATTTACACAGTTAAAATAAGACACTGAAGCAAAATATATCATGCCTCAACTGAACTAAATATTTAGAACAAGTCTGATCAATCTAGTGAACAACAATTCCAGAGGTCCGGCAATAAAGAACACTAATCACCTCCTGGCAGAAAGGTGAGGGTACAGAATGAGACATATATTTGTATGCACGGCCAATGGAAGAATTAGTTTTGCTTAACTATCGCATGTGTTACAGGAATTTGTTTTTCTTTTCTATTTTTCCAATGGAGGAGGTGGGAAGAAGAAAAAGTTAATGCTTGTTCACTGACAAAAAAAATAAAATTAGAGCTACATTAAAATTGTGTCACAGTTCCTGATGCTCAGGATGAGCTATAAGGTTAGGCTGGGAAGTCAGAGACAACAAAAAGGTTTTGAGGGTTTTTTAAAAATCTATATTGGGAGAGGGAAGGAAGATCAAAGGAGAGAGAAGGCCTTCAGAGAGGATGAGATGATGACAACAGGAAGAAGGAAATGCTGCTCAATTTTTTCTTCTTGTTTGCTTGTGAACAACAAAAGTGAAGAACAAAAATGAATAACAGTAGATAGCCAAGAGAAGGAAGAAGACGGTGAGAGGCACCCAGATGCCCTTGATGCGTTCAAGTCATCTGGTCCTGATGAGGGACGTCATTGGGTTCTAAAGCAAAGAGCAATGGGAAATACCAAGGAATGGAGAAAGGAAACTTCTTCAGAAAAGTGAAGAAGACAGTGCCTGCAGACTCTGGACTGGGGAGCTTGGCTTTGGTTCTTGGGAAAACTCTAGAACAGAACCATTCAAGAAAACAATGGTAAACCTTGAGAAAGGAAGCAGGGATTGCAAAGAGCCAACAGGGCTTCCTCAAGAACGAGTCATCCCAGACTCACCTCATTTCCTTCTGGGACAGGATTACTGAACTCTCTATGAATGGAGAGGTAGTTTATCTCAATTCAAGCCAGGTTTTTATAATCTATCTCAGACTCGTCTTGTGGAACCAGAGTGGAAGTTCCTTGAGTACAAGGACTGTTTGTTTCACTTCTGTGTTTTTATCTCCAGAGCTTGGCAGAGTATCTGGCATACAGTAAGCACTTAATAAATGCTCATTGGTTGGTTGACTATCTGGTGTGGGCTGATTGGTAGTACCATTCGATGACTCAGAACTGGCTGGAAGGATGCTGGATTCAGGATGTTGGACTCAAAGGGTAGGTCTTAGTAATTCAGCTGCATTGTGACAGGAGTTCCCTGGGGCTTGGTGCTTGGCCATGGACTGCTTGACATTATTTTTTAATCAGATCCTAGAATACACACTCATCAAATCTGAATTTGGGCTGGAGTCTCACCTCTGAGCACTGGCCCAGGTGAAGATGGCCTATGCTGCTGACACAGGTGGGGTGGGGGAATGGTTACTCTTCTCCTTGCCTCCTGGCCCAGCTCTTGGGCAGTTCCAAGGAGCTGTGCCCTTCCCCCCCGGCCCTCCCTAGCCCCTCAGCTATGCCAGGCACAGGGGCTGACATTGACATCTCATAATTATCAAAAGAGATGGGAAAAACAGCAGCAGCAATAAATTCTTAGGCAAAACACATACTTATCTTTAAAAATCTGAAGTGTTCCCTGTTCTACCATATGCTGCCTGGGGGAGGGGGAAGGGGCAGGTAGGAGGAGGGAAGGAGGGGACAGCCCCAGCAGAAGCCCCAGGGCCAGATCCCGGCTCCACCTCCCTGCTAGCCCTGAGGGCAGTGTATGTGATGGAGGCCAGGCTTGGGGAAAGAGCAGGGGATTCTGTCTCAGCCTCCAGAGGCAGAACTGGGGGTGGGATCTGAAGGCATAATCATAGTCACAGGAGGCCATGGATTCCCATCCCCTCATTGTACTCAGGTGATCTGAGGCCCAGGGAGGGTAAAGGCAAGGACACAGTAGGATTATGGATCTGGAGCTGGAAAGGTCCTTAGGACTAATGTTACAGATGAGGAAACTGAGGCTGTTATACCTTGTTCCAGGTCACACAAGGAATCAGCAAAAGAGACCAGATCTGAACCCAGTTCTGCTGAGCCCAGCAGCATGCTGCCTCCTATTTCCGTCACTCTAACTATTTTTTTTTTCAAAGCCCTCTCCTCCCAAGAGCCAAGGGAGGGGAGTAAGGGTCACTGTTCCCATCTTAATCATCATAGTTACAACAGTAATTAACATCATGTCAGGGGTGACACTGACAGAGCCCTTTAAGGTCTCCCTGTCGGACTGAGAGCTCCCTGAGGGCAGATCCCCAGCACTTAGCACTGGAGCTGGCCCATGGGAAGGGCTTAGTAACTGGATGCTTGCTGCGATGGCCCATGATGCCATGGGTCACAGCAGACCAGGCTGCCCCCCTCTCTACGAGCTCCCTTACCTGAGCCTGGGCATGGGAAAGGACACTTTCTCCACAATGGGGTTCAGGCGATAGTAGTCCATGAAGGTCCGAGCCACGTTCCGCCCCAGCTTCATGTCTGAGCATTCTCTCGTTAAGGAACCTTTTTGAAAAAGTGATTTCAAAGGAAAGGCAGAGCGGTGGACGGGGTTGGGGCTGCCCAGGCCTGCTGAGCATGGACAGACTCAGGCCCAGCGGTTTGGCCTGAGCTACTGAGCCAATCACAGAATCACAGAAGCTGAGAGCTGGAAGGACCCTCAGTGGTCCCCAATCCAATCACCTGGGGCATCTCTGATAATGCTCATCCAGCCTGAGCTGGAAGACCTGCAGGGAGGAAGGCCACTCCACCTGGGAACACATCTAACATGCAGGAAGTTCCTCCTGGCATCAAACCAAAGTTAGTCCATTTTCAACTTCCTCTCTAACCCATCCCCCCATGCCTCTGGTTCTGCCCTCTGGGGCCAAGTAGAACAAGGCTATATGGCATATATACAACAACACTTTAAATACTGGAAGGCGCCCCGAGCCTTCTCTTCTCCTGCTAAACATGCCCAGTTCCTTCACTCTACATATGTCAGGAAGGCTCAAGGCTCTTTCCCATCTTGGTTGTCCTCCTTGGGCCATCTCCAGTTTACCAACTGTTCCTAAAACATGGCCCCCACAACTGGACACACGACCTCCAGATGAGGCCTGGCCTGGGCACAGGACAGAACAACCATCATCTCCTCACTCCTGAGGCACTGTGACTTCCTACATGCAGCTAGAATTGTTAGGGGGTGAGTTCCCTGTCACTGGAGGGTTTTTAAGCCCTTACCCAAAGCAACTCACAGGGAAATGCATCAGATTCTGAGGAAGAAGACTCTGGGATTGATTACTGCCCCACTCCCTTCCCCACATATTCTCCCTTTCGTTATCTGAGACCTCTCTCACTCCAGGCTTAAAAGGTCTCCTAGCCACAGAAGCTGTTGCCTCCATCTCCCCAGTATCTTAAATCTTTTTCTAAAGACAGGTTGTTTTAATTGAAAATGTTCTCTCCATCCCTCCCCCTCACTGCCCCCACTTTCCCCAACAAACAGACCCATTTGCAGTAAATCATTTTGTGCGAGGCTTTCCCTGCTGCAGGAATAAATAACCGGGAGCTGGGAGGGGAGGGGAAGGGAGGGGAGTGGGGGGCAGTAGCAGCCAGTATTTAGGCCCTGCTCATAGGCCGTAAACCTTTACTTTTTGTACAAAGCTCAGCCAAGATGGCAACTCCCCAAAGCAGGGCTGGTTCAGGGGTGCTCCAGGGCTCACCCGAAAGGGGTGAGAGCCAAGATACCCAGATCTGGGGGGAGGCAGGTAGCCAGACATTCATACTGGGGGAGGGCATTGGGTCCCTTCTCCTGAGCCTGGAGTCAGGGGAAATGCAGGTGTGACTCCTGTCCACTTGCCCAGGTATCTCTGTGGCCTCAGGTGAGCCCTTGGTCTCAACGAGCCTTAGTCTCCCCATCTGCAAAATGAGGATAATCACACCTAGCAGCACACACCTCCCAGGGCCAGAGACCAGGCTATAAAGAGAACAGGAACATGCATGTAAATGATGGCTCCAATTAATCACGCTTCGGGAAACAACACTGGAGCTCAAGTCTCTGAACTGAATTTCAATCCCTGGGACTGTGCCCAAGGCCTCAGTCTCCCTCTTTGTGAAATGAGGTAGGGGTCAAATTAAATGTTCTTGAATCCCTCCTCTGCCTCAGACATGCCCTGATTCTACGATCTAGAAGTCACAACACAGATGACATGCTGAGAGCCCGCCAGGACATCAGAGGCCCTCCAGCCCAACACCCTCATTTAACAGATGAGGAAACTGAGGCTCAGAGTAGGAGAAATGACTTGCCCAAGGTCACCAGGTTTCTTTCTCTCCTCCTAACCCAGTGAACCATATTTGGCTAACGTATGAGATAGGGTAGAGGGCCAGAGCCATTAAAGAGATCGAAAGACAGATAGATGGACAGACAGACCGACAGATAGATAGATATAGAAAGACAGATGATAGACAGATACAGAAAGTTAGGTGGATATTAAATAGGTTAGATAGATAGATAGATAGATAGATAGATAGATAGATAGATAGATAGACAGACAGATAGTGATAGAGAGATAGACAGGTACAGAAAGATAGAGGTTAGAATTAGATCCTAGATAGATGATAGATAGAAAGATGGATAATGTAGATAGCTAAGCGGATAGATAGTATTTAGTAAGTGGCTACTATGTACCGGGCACTGGGCTAAGCCCTGAGGATACAAATATAAGCAAACAAGACAGTCCCTGTCCTCAAGAAGCTTACATTCTAAAGGGAGAAGACCACATAGAAAGGGGAGCTGGACTGCAGCAATGGCCTCCTAACTGATCTCCCTGCCTCCAGCCTCTCCCCTCTCCTATCCATCCACTCAGCTGCCCGAGTAGTTGTCCCAGTGTGGGCTCTGCCCTAGACATGCAATTGTTCAAGCCCATTCTCTGCCTCCTTATACCTATCCAATGAACCCAGGGTCTCCTCAGCCTGCCGTGTGAAGCCCTCCATGACCTGGCTCCCACCTCCTTTATCTGATTCTGTCCCACTGTGATTTCTGTATGCCAGCCAAACTGCGTCTCATCTCATCTTTCTCCTTCCCACTTCTGTGAATTGCCAAAGCATTCTCCATGCCAGGATAGGGCCTTCCTTTCCTCGTCTACCCTGAATAATAAGACTTCACCTTTGTTGAGGGCTTCAAAGCTGGCCAAGCACTTTCTTCACCCTCCAAGAGGAAGGTGTGCTAAGACTAGCCCATTACAGAGAAGAAAGTGGAAGTGCTCAGCTGTGAGTGGCTCACCCAAGGTGACCCCGCTAGGATCCAGCCGAGCCTCCCAGCGACAAGGCTAGGACTCTTTCCACTACAGAACTCATTGAGAGCCTTCTCCTTCTGGTGGGCCCAGCTTGGTGTCACTTCTTCCAGGCAGCTTTCCATGACCCCCAACTGGAACACCACAGGAGCACAGGCGCCAGCCTGGAAGGAGCCCCAGACCTTATGGATGGTGGGGGGATGGGCTGGGTGGTCTCTAAGGTCCCCTTGTGTTCAAAAGCCAATCTATGACCCCCTCCCATTTTACAGATGGGGAACCTGATGACCTCCACCCACTGGATGTGGACAAACCGCACAGAGCCTGGCATACAATGAGTGCTTAATAAATACTTGTGACTGGCTGACGGCTTTGAGAGCCGAGTTCTGAAAACAGGGTCTCCGTAAATATCGTCTTAGCAAATTTTTGCCCATGAACATTTAGACTCTGGTAAGCAGAGCAGGCAGGAGGAAGAGGCTTTAGAACAGGGAATGTCATAACAGGGAGGGGCCTGAGAACAGGGGATGTCAGGGCTGGGAGGGGCCTGAGAACAGAGAATGTCAGAGCTAGGAGGGGGCTTAGAACAGGGAATGTCAGGGCTGGGAGGGGCCTTGGAACAGGGAATGTCAGAACTAGGAGAGCTTTAGAGATTATCTAGTCCAGCCTCTTTATCTTATAGATGGGAAAAACGAGGCCCAAAGAGGGGATATAATTCGTCATTGTCTTCCTAATGACAAATCGAGAATTCAGTCCCCTGTACCACTTTGCCTTCTGTATGCAAATTGTTATTTTTAACCCAAGAACAGCCCATACACACACTCACACACATCATACCCACATACATGTGTTCACACATATACATATATGTTCATACACATATACACGTTCATACACCTACACACATTTGTCTGGCTCTATGCCACCTGTATAGGGGTGTTCCCTGTATGAAATCTCCCTGCGCTGAGGCAGAAGGCAGCTCATTTATGTCCCTGGGACACAAAGACCTTAAGCGATGTGCTCAGGGTCACACAATCAGGATGTATCAGAAGCAAGTCCTGCTGCCTCTAAAGACCAGCTCTCAAAGTACGAAATTTTGTTACCACTCATCAATTAAGTGATTAAGTACCTAAAAACACTGTGTTTGATACAAAACAAAAGTGTGTCTGAAACAACAACAAAAAAAGTGCCAGGCATACAGTAGGTGCTAAATAAATGCCTATGCCCTTTCCCCTTCCCTGATCCACACTCTATCTCTAGACACAAGGGAGATCGCATAGTAACTATTGGCCTCTGTTATTCCTCTGCTTTACGCCAGAGGGCAGCAGGGAGACCTAAAGCGGGTCACTGTAAGTAAGGACTCCAGGACCCCTTGGGGCCTTCAAGCAGAGGGCCGATAACAGAGCATTTGTTGGGCGTGCTCCAGTGGGGGCTCCTTTCTGATATAAGTAGGGGTCCCTACCTCAGGGGTCCCCTCCAGCTCTCAAACTCTGTCCCTCTGTAACATCCAGAAAAAAGTCCTGCTCCAGAGTGGCCTGGGTTGCCCGAGGAGGTAGTGAGCTCCCCATCGCTAGACACCTCCAAGAAGAAGCTGGCTAACAACCCGTCAGGGTGTGCTGTAGCCCTTGAGAGCCCCCTGATTCTAGGTCAGTGATATCCAGTGAGGCCTGCCCAGCTCTGGGCCTCTGGGCTTCAGACTCTCAGCCCCCAGACCTGCTGAGATGTATTCTCCCAGCTTCCTGCTCCCCTCAAAGCAAGGAAGTGGAAATCTCACAGGGAAGGACTCTGAGAAGAAGCTTCCATTTGACACTGAGGACCTTGGTGATGAAAAAGAAGAGTGTGAGCCTGGTAAGAGTGTTGGGTTGGAAGGCTCCCCAAGGAACATTAGGTTCTCTTTATAAAGGAGGAAGCTGAGGCAGTATGCTTTGGCCAAGGTGACAAGGCTAAGACAGAGCAGAGCTGGGCTTAAGGTCTTAGACTTAGAGCCAGGGCTCGATGGCATGCTCGGCTTAGGGGTCACCTCCTCCTGGAAGCTTTCCCTGATCACTCCCCCCTCCAAGATTCCCCTCTTTAATCTGTCATCTCCTTCTGCCTGATGTCTCCTTCGCATCAATCGCATTCTAGATGGGGGAAGAAGGGCTGTCATCTGGCTCCCCATGCCCTCCCCCAGAGCCAAGTCAGGGCCCCAACCCTAGCTGGGTCTCATTACTTTACAAAGGAGCC